CTACAAAATGACAATATACAGTACCTGAGCCTTTGGTATGTTGGCTGAGATCATAGGCACTTCTGTCAGCACATCCAACACATTCAATCCAGCCATATGAGGTAAGACATTCAGCATCCCAACAGTCGCATGCGTAATGAGCCATCTCGTTATTTAAATGCTGCCTGAATCTTAGCTTTTTTGGATTAATACCAATCTTCAGTAGATACTGCTGAATACGTGCCATGTAGTAACCTAATGTTTCATTAGCTACCAAACCCTAGAATGAAAGAAATTGAGAGACTAGTTTTCATTTTCTCCCAGTATGATAATGAACTTAATCCATTCTCAAATCATTTATTGTGCATGTGCAAAACAAATGGGAAAAATATTTTATTCTGATGGGATGGGCAGGCAGACTTTCAACACACAGGTAATACAGCATTACAGGGAACTATTGCCACTACTACACCATCAAAATATATTATATATACTGTGCATACTGATATATTTCACTCATTTCATACTTAAAAGATTATCTGTAATAATTACTTCATCTGACAAGTGTTTCCCATAAATGATGGGTCATATCCAAAACTAACTATGATTTCTGTTACAATAAAGTTAGATATTCAAATGCTGTACACTTAAACGTAAGCAATCTAACAAGTCTGCCTTACATATCTGATGTGGCTGACTAAAGGCAGTGCTAAAAACTGAACCCATTTTATGCTTTTTATTTAACCTGTGAACTAATATACTGTACTGTATTGTAAATTTCTTTACCAAAAACATGATTTGAAAAATATAATAAAACTAAATCTCGAAGAAAAACAGCTTTCTATTGAGGGGACCTTGGGAGTTCCACATAGGAATGTCAGACCTTTCCCTGCCTGTTATTGCTTCTTGGTAAATTATTTTGTTACTTTTAATGTTCCTAGACACAGATACTGAAAAAAATGCAGTGGAACCCAAAATATCGGCCGCGGTGCCTCGCAAATCAGCCGTATTATACGCTTCAGCCCGCCCCTTGCCAGGACACCACTGCGTAGGTGAGTCAGTCTCCCTGTCTCTCGGTGAATGAGCATACACTCCGTGCACTCATCCAAACATTTCCTTAAATCCATTGGTTTTTGTGCTTGTTTATTAAGTGCAACTGTGAAATAAGCCACCATGGGCCCAAAGAAAGTTCCAAGTAAGATTCCTTTGGTAAAGAAAGTGAGAAACACGATGGAATTTAAGAAAGAAGTTATTGGAAAATATGAGTGGTGTTTGAGTGCTAGAACGTGCCAGGATGTATGAGAAATCCAAATCAACAATCACTTCCATCCTGGCAAAGAAAGTAGAAATCAAGGAAGCTAATGTTGCTAAGGGGAGTTTAGCAGGGAGGCAGGGAGTGTAGCAGGGAGGCAGGGAGTGTAGCAGGGAGGCAGGGAGTGTAGCAGGGAGGCAGGGAGTGTAGCAGGGAGGCAGGGGGGTGTAGCAGGGAAACAAGGAGTGTGGAAGGGACGCAAGGAGTGTAGCATGGAGGGAGAGAGTGTAGCAGGGAACAGAGAGTATGGAAGGGAGGCAGGGAGTGTATTATTATAATAAAAAAGAAGCGCTAAATCACAAGGGCTATACAGTGCTGCAGGGCAGGAAAGGATGTGAGGGTATCGGGAAGCAAGAGAGAGAGGGATGATTAGGAGGTTATGAAGTACAGCAAGGCAGTGGATAGTGCAGGGGTAGATGGTAGCAAGAGATTGAGATAGAAGGGGCTGAGGGGAGTGCTAAAGGTATCATCATCAGAGTTTGCAGAGTAAATCAGTTGCTGTCAAAAAGTCAATGAGGGTGTCCGGATTAAAGGAGGGTCCATCAGCAACAAGGGAAGGTAAAGAAAGAGCAGCAGAGCGGAGGCGACGTTGGAGGTAAATTCTACGTGCTCGTTGATAGAGTGCCAGTCCAACAGAATGTGGCTAACAGATACTGGAACCTAACAATTCTCAGAGAGGAACAGGGTACCTCTCCATGAGATACCTGTGAGTAAGACAAGTGTGGCTGATGCGAAGACGGGAGAGAGTAGTCTCCCAACCTCAACAGTGATGGCAAGAAGACAGCCAGTAACCTATACTCAGTTTAATAGAATGAAGTTTGTTATAAAGCAGATCAGACCAACATTGTTGCCAATGGGTGTAAAGGTGGGTAGCAATTACAGCAAAATAGTCCGTGAATGGAATACCTCTATATGAAACTGGGAGGTCATGTACTGCTGACCGCACAGCAGTGTCTGCCTGTTCATTGCCCTGCAAGTCAACATGACCAGGGACCCAACAAAAAACAATATCTTTGTGCTTGGCAGAGATACGGCATAACCAAAGTTGGATACTGAGAACTAGGGGGTGAGATGCATTAAATTTTCTGAAACAACCACAAATGGTGATACAGGCATAGATGCAATACGGATAAGTGCCGCAAGAATGGCATACAATTCAGCAGTAAAAATGCTAGCCGAGGATAGTAAATGCCCTCGCACAACACTGTCTGGAAACACTGCTGTGAATCCGACGCCGTCAGAAGACTTAGAACCATTCATCACAACCATCTATGTACACTGTGATGGCATGAGAAGGATTGCAGAGATCATGAGAGCGAGCATAATAGCGAAGGCAATGAGTATCACAGCGATCGGACAAGGATGGAATATATGCTACTGCATAGAGACACTCAACAAGTGAAGAGCAAAATGCACCAAGGCATAAACGTAATCCCTGGTGATGGATGGGATTAAGGCTAGAGAGAGTAGCAGGAGAGGCCGCCGAATAGATCTGGTCACCATAATAGAGTTTTGATAAAATTAGGGCTGAATGTAGGCGAAGCAGAGTTCTACGATCAGTTCCCCATGAAAGATGAGCGAGGGTTTTAACCCTTTCAGGGTTTCCAACATGCTAGTACATCTTACGCACCAGGGTTATTAACGTACTAGTACGCATAAATTCTAGCGCCTTCAAATCTAGCGAGAGAAAGCTAGTAGGCCTACATATGAAAGAAAGGGTCTATGTGGCAAGTGTGCACAGTATAAAAAAATCCTGCAACACACAGTGAGTAATGAGAAAAAAAAAACTTTGACCATGTTTTTGGTTTAAAACAGCGACTTTGCACTGTATTTTCGTATGGTATTTATGGTTGTATTCTAGTTTTCCTGGTCTCATTTCATAGAATGGAAGACATATTACAGAAATTGACAAGATCATTTTGAAATTGAGCTCAAAGTAGCAGAAATGTTCGATTTTTGCCAAAGTTCAAAAGTAAACAAATCATGCCATGTGTCCAATACACGTCAACTGGTGAGTCTAATATTCTTTCACAAGTAAGCTAATATTATTTATACCATTTCTACACTAATGCAGTAGTCTGCATAACAGTAAATCTTCTATTTTTGTGTGAGAATAAAAATTTGAAGTGGAAAGCAAAAGAAATGTAAGAGGGGCCTGGGGACATGACTAATGAACAGAGGAAATGTTATTTTAGTGCCAGGAATGTATGTCTTGTTTATTCTGGACCCTATTTGGAAATTGGCATCTTTTGAAATTTGTATGAAATTGACAAAATTGTCAATTTCTGACCATTTTATTGTATAGTTGAAATCGGTAAATGGGTGGTTTCTTGTACTCATTCGATGGAAAAAAAACTGAGTTCTCGCAAAATACAGTGGTCCCTCACTTTTCATAGTTCTCGGCAATCGTAAATTTCACCAATCATAGGGGTATTTTCGTATAAACATGGACTCGCTTTTCATAGGTTGACTCGCGAATAGTAGTTCGTCCAGGACGCGTACGCACGGTGTGAGCCGGGGCGGCCTCCCTACCCAGCCAGTCTGGCATTGTTTACCAGTGAGTGAAGGTCCCCTCAAGTGCTCCTACGAAATATTTCATAATATTCCACTCATTTTAGTGCTTGTAATTACTAAATAAGCTACCATGGCTCCAAAGAAAGCTCCTAGTGCCAAGCCTGTGGTAAAGAAGGTGAGAAATATGTACAGTGACAAAGTCTTGGGCCCTTTTCGGGAATGTCAGAGATGCCAGAAACAGAGCTCTCTCCACAGTTACTTTGCGAGACAGGACTAGAGTGACTCTCAAGGTGGTCCTAGTGGCATTAAGAAACAGAGAAGAGAAGCAACCCCAGAGAAGCAATTGGTACCTGAGGTGTTGCTGGAAGGGGATTCCCCTTCCAAACTGTAAACAATCCAATCTCTCTCCTCCTCCAGTCTCCCATACACTAAGAAGAATCTCCAATAAAGGTAAGTGTTATGCTGTTAATGTTTCATTCATCATTTCCCATTGTATTGTTTATGTACTATATGATATTTCATGTAAAAAAATGTTTTGTTTTAATACTTCTGGGTGTCAGGAACGGATTAATTGTATTTACATTATTTCTTACGGGGAAAATTGATTCGCAAATCGTAAATTTCGTTTATAGTAACGGCTCCAGGAATGGATTAATTACGAAAAACGAGGGACCACTGTAGTTATGATTTTTGTCGATTAGTACACTGGAATTGGCCGAAAATAGGGCTCAAAGTGGGCGAAATCGCCAATGCGCAAACATCGTCGAGACCGCTAACTTTGCGAGAGCATAATTCCTTAAGTTTTCCATCAATTTCATACCTTTAGTGTCATTATGATTGGGAAAATTCTCTATCATTTCATAAGAAAACAATTTTTTTTTTCCTGAAAATTTTTTGACCCTGAGAACAAGTTTAGGAGAGGGCCTCTCGACCCTGAAAGGGTTAAGAAGGTTCAGCCGGCTGTGACAAGTTGCCTTCAGATAGGTAATGTGAGGTTTCCAGGATAACCTACAGTCAAACAGAAGGCCTAGAAACCTGATCGTATCACGTTCTGGGATATGTAAGCCATAGAAGTACAATGGATGATCAGAGATAACAGAACATCTAGTGAAAGTAATTTGACAAGTTTTAGTACTGGAAAATTTAAACCCATGCGTGGTGGCTCAATTGGAAATGAGGTTGACCGCATGCTGGAGAGAAACTGCAATGAGGTGACAGTCAGCGCCTGCACAAGCTATAGCGAGGTCATCAACACAGAGTGATGACCAAATATTGGATGGAAGAAGAAAGGCCAAATCATTTATAGCAAGGAGAAAAAGTGTTGTGCTCAGAACACATCCCTGGGGGACACCTTCAGTTTGGAAGTTCTTAAGGAAGGACAGTAGATTGCTTCGGATGCCTAAGAAGTGGGCTTGGGTCAAAATATTATACCTCCACGTTGTGTCATATGCCTTCTCAGGGTCAAAAAATATGGCAATAACTGAGTGGTTATTCGCAAAGGCATTACGAACATACGTATCCAAGCGTAGTAAGGGGTCAATGGTAGAACGGCCCTTACGAAAGCTATAATGACTAGTGGAGAGACTGCTGTGTGTCTAAATACCACATTAAATGTCAATTTACCAGACGTTCCATCATCTCGCAAACTGCACTGGTAAGAGTAATGGGACGATAGTAGGAGGCATCATGTCCCATAGCACCCGGTTTGCAGAAAGGGAGAGCAATGGCAGATTTCCACAGCTGTGGAAGAGCTCCTTGTTACCAAATAAGATTAAAGAGTCATAAGTGGACTGCAAGGGCTGACTGATGTAAATGTTGTAACATTCGAATATGAATGCCATCAGGCCCAGCTGCCGATGATCGGCAAGCTGAGAGTGTTGCCTCCAGTTCCAGAAGTGTAAAAGGCACATTATAAGATTTTTCTTTGAGAGAAGAAAAGTCTAAGGGCGCCAACTCTCTGGCAGACTTTGAGGAAAGAAACGAGGGGCATAGATGAAACCCCTGAGAAATACGGACCAGATGATTACCAGTTACAATGGCAACGTCAAGAAGGTTTGCTATATCAACACTGGCAACCCGCAGAACAGGAGCCGTGTCAGGGGAGTATTGAAGGGAGTGTAGCAGGCATGCCTGTAGCAGGCAGGGAAGGAAGTAACCCCCAGAGAGGGCTTTGATACCTGAAGTCCTTATGAAGGGAGGATTCCCATTCCAAACAATAATCAGTCCTCCCTCTGTCCTCCCTGTCTTCCATAAGCCAACAAGAGTTTTCAATAAAGGAACGAAATAGTGATTTATGTGTTCATTTATTTTATTTAGCTCTCATTGTCTTGTGTATGTAAAACTATAATTAATCTTTAAAAAACATATTTTTTGTTAATATTTTTGGGTGTCTGGAACGGATTAATTGTATTTACATTAATTCTTATGGGAAATATTGCTTCGAATTTAGGCTGACCTTCTGGAATGAATTATGGCCAATATTCAGGGTTCCACTGTATTACCATCCAAGCCGGATCAAAACATACTGCAGTCTTAATTTAATTCACCAGCCAAAGGTTTCCCATCCTCTGGGGAAACATTGAAGAGTCCCAACATGCAAAACTCATTAACTAGTGCAGTGTTAAATATTTAAATCCTTAAGAGAGAAGTTCCTTTATATAGTGCAATTTTCTGTAAATGTAACTGAAAAAAGTACATCCAAAACTGAATAACACTACCATATAATGGAGCAACTGCATCATGTATGGGGTAACTATGCCACTATCTAAATATGCCTATTATATGAGAAATTTATAAAAAATATTCTACTACCTGACTGGAAGATTCTAAATAGGGATGTTTTTATACGTACAGTAGATTACAGGTTAACATGCAATCTATTAACACTTTCGCAATAAAATGGTTACAAAACTTAGGAATACTGGTGAACATGCCATATTAATCAGTTGACACAGCAGATGACATGTAGAGGAAAATGTGACACACACCAAGTTCGTTCCCCTCCATCTTGCAGTAAGTCTACAGGTGAGTCTATTGTCTTATGAAGGAGGCCTGCAAAATGTACACAACCTCTTCTGTCTTAGTACTCTGTTCATATGCATCCAATCCCATATTCAGAAATAATCTTTTATTTTTTCATTATCCATTCTCATCTCTGGGAAGTACCCATGGCACCCAACAAGAACGTGAGTGCTCCTGGAAGTGCAAAGAAGCATATAACAATAAAGCACTGCCACCTGCTAGCAGAGATGTGGATGTGGGACCTTTGATTGATAGGTCATGCACCCTTACACCTATACCTTACCCATGTCCTCACCCACAATGCCCTTGGCACCCCACTCCCCCAAGAGCTCACCCATGCCCATGCTTACCCTTATTCACACCACCTGCCAGCACTGTGCATCCATTACCCACACCACTAGTGCCATACACCTACCCACACCTGCCTCTGTCAGTAGTATGTATACTGTGTGAGAATACATGTGTGTACACACTATACAAGTGTAACCACCACTGACACCTCTACCTTATTTCCTACCCACACCCCACCCTATCTTTGCCACACACCCAGCAACCTCCACACAAGCCACCCGACTATGTAACTCCCGTCTTCACCCACACCACTGTTGCACACCTACCCATGTCTTTACCCAACTCGCCTCCCTCATCTACCTGCACATATTCTGGAAACTATTTGTATAATGGGCACTTTTAGGTGATAAAATTACCCCAATTGCCCCATTGTATGTTGTTCAATTGTCAATGCATTTTTACAACAGCATTTATGAAAAATTGTATAGTATAAAGAGCTTTATAATAGCTGACTGTATTAATATATGGTATGTATTTATGTATATATGCAAGTTACTAAACACTGTAAAGAGTTTTTATGAGGAGAGTGAGCCTCTGAATAGAGTATGTAAGAGGGAGAGAGAGAGATTACTTTCCAGTAAAACTAGACCTTAGACAGGGATGCATTATGTCACCATGGTTGTTAAACATATTCATAAATGGGGGTTATAAAAGAAGTGAATGCTAAGGTGCTGGGAAGAGGGGTGGGATTAAAATGTGTGGAATTTGATACAAAATGGGAGTTGGCACAGTTACTTTTTGCTGATGACACTGCTTCTAAGAGATTCTTTAGAGAACTTGCAAAGGTTAGCAGACAAGTTTGGGAGGGTGTAAAAAGGAAGGAAGTTGATGATGAGGGTATCAACACTTGGGTAATGAAAAACTGGATATCAGATTGAAGGGAGGTAGTATGGAAGAAGTGAATGTGTTCAGATATTTAGGGGTGAACATGTCGGCAGATGGGTACATGAAAGACAACATAAACCACATAAGTGATGAAAGGAAAAAGGTGGGTGGTGCACTGAGGCATCTGTGGAGACAAAGATCGTTATCCATGGAGGCAAAGAGGGGAATGTATGAGTGTATAGTTGTACCAACACTCTTATATGGATGTGAAGCATGGGTTCTAAATGTTGCACCAAGGAGGAAGTTGGAGGCAGTGAAGATGTCGTGTCTGAGGCCAATGTGTGATGTAAATATTAATCAGAGAATTAGTTTAAAGATTAGGAGGAGGTGCAGAGTTACTAAAAGTATTATCCAGAGGACATGAGGGGATGCTGAAGTGGTTTGGTCATTTAGAAAGGATGGAGCAAAATATGACGACTTGGAGGGTATATAAATCCAGTGGAGGGAAGGCGAGAATGGGGTCATCCTAAGAAAGGATGGAGGGAAGGGGTAGAGGAGGTTTTGTGTGCAAGGGGTTTGGACATAAAGTAGGCATGTGTGACAGTGAGAGATGGGAGTGGAGACAAATGCTTTTTTGGGGCCTGACGAGCTGTTAGAGTGTGAGCAAGGTAATATTTTGTGAAGGAATTCATGGAAACCAGTTAGTGGGATTTGAGTCCTGGAGGTGGGAAGTACAGTGCCTGCATGCTAAAGGAAGAGTTTGGGATATTTGCTGTTTGAAGGGACATCTGAACTGTCATATCTGCATGCCTCTGCCAAGACAATGATAGTGTGAATGATGGTGAAAATGTGTCTTTTTCAGGTCACAATGCCTTGGTAGGAGACAGCCAATATGTTAAAAAAATATATACATACATACATACACTTTTCCTCATGCAACTTAGTTAATATCAATTAAAGAAAGGTAAAAATCAAATTTAAAAATGATTTACTAAACAAGTGTTACATAATGGTGCAAAATGCTGGGTCAGGTCACTTCCAGGATGGTGTTTTACACTCTCTAAAATATCAACTACCTTGCACCATCCATTCCTTCTGTTGTATTTTATATTTCATAGAATATTTAATTGATCATATACTATACATAATTGACAGGTAACCTAGTTCCAACAGCATCCTGGAATGTCCTTGCTATTTTCCTTCTGTTATTTACAAGCACTGATATATGAATGAAAATACACCTTTTGTCTCCCACCAGTTAGCTGCTCAATTGAACTTCTTTCTCCACGGAAATCCAGCCTTTCATTGTGTGTAAAACTGCCTAGATGATGGTACCAGCGTGATGCATGTACAAGGTGTTTGGGAGGGGGTTGCTCCAGAGCCTTGTAAACTGTCACATCAGCTTGGGATGGCTCATGGCCAAGAATATAACTGCGATCCCTTAAGAAGAAATCCAAAGCACCAACTTCCATTGGAGTCGAGAGGAGGCCCAATGAAGGTAGCCCCAACTACCGGCAGATGAAGGGTTGTAAATTCACAACCTAGCTTCTGTGCCACATAAATATTCTTCATATTGTATATTTCATCTATATACTGTAGATCAATTTTACAAATAAAACCTTATACTACCTGCAATTTATGTAATATTTTGTGATCCCAAATCAGTGCAACAGTTTCCACTTTCACATAAAAATATTGCTTCTTCTTCTTCAATAGACTAGCCGTATCCCACCGAGGCAGGGTGGCCCAAAAAAAGAAGAACTAAAGTTTCTCTCTTTAAATTTAGTATATATGCAGGAGAGGTACTAGCTATCATCACAATTAACAAAGATTTTCAGATTTAAATGAATTCATGATAACCAATGCCCAATAATACAAATGAAACAAAAAAAGAATAAAATTTGTGTATATTGTGGAGTTCGTGTTAGAAAATTGTTTAAGTATTAACAAAGCAACGAAAAAAAATACCATGTACTGTACTGTATTGTACTTGGTGATAAAGAATTACTAAAACCAAACATTATATGTTTTTTTTTTTTAAATAAAAAGGGAGAGCTGATGAACTTTTAACGCTACTGGGTCCACCTCTTTAACTTTCGACTGAATGACATGAATTAGCTGTCACAGTACACTGTCTGCACTCTGAAGGATGATGGTGGAAAAGTTGCAGCTTGGAGAGTCATTTTGTCATTTGAATTATGATATCCCCACACTTCTGAAAAGACAGTTTTTTAATGAAAGGTGAAGAATTTGTTTCATTTTTCTGGGCCACCCTCTCTGCCTTGGTGAGAAATGGTCATTGTGGTAAAACAACATCAGCAGATGAACCCAAACATTAAGCTGGCTTTAACTGTATTGTTATCTAGCTCCTTCCAATTCTTTATTGCTCCATGTCAGAAATGCTAGCTAGCATGTGAAGGCTGAAATAGACACCTACTTCACTGAATGTTCAGATTCACTTCAAAACCTCAAATTTTAAGAAGGTAATGATCAATTCAGTACAGTATATAGAACTAAACTTGAATGGGAAAAGCCAGGATTTAAAAAAATATCTGATATTAAATTTGCTTCCAAATAAAATGGGAAAGTCATATAACCCTTTCAGGGTTGGCAGGCCCTCTCCTAAATTTGTTCTCAGGGTTGGAAATTTTTCAGAAAAAAAAAAAAAATCTTATGAAATGATAATCTTTTCCCAATCATAATGACACCAAAAGTATGAAAGTTGATGGAAAACTTACGGAATTATGCTCTCGCGAAGTTAGTGGTTCTGATGATGTTTACGCATTGGCGATTTCACCCACTTTGAGCCCTATTTTCAGCCAATTCCCATGTTCCAGTCAAAGAAATCATAACTATTTCGCTAGAACTCCATTTTTTCTATCGAATGAGTACAAGAAATCACCCATTTACCCATTTCAACTATCCAATAAAGTTGTCAGAAATTGGCAATTTTGCCAATTTCACACAAATTTCAAAAGATGCCAATTTCCAAATAGGGTCCAGAATAAACAAGATAGACATTCCTGGCACTAAAATAACATTTCCTCTGTTCATTAGTCACGTTTCCAGGCCTCTGTTACATTTCTTTTGCTTTCCACTTCGAATTTTTATTCTCACACAAAATAGAGATTTACTGTTATGCGGACTACTGCATTAGTGTAAAAATGGTATAAATAATATCAGTGCACTTGTGAAAGAATATTAGACTGACCAGTTGACATGTATTGGACGCATGGCATGATTTGTTTACTTTTGAACCTTGGCAAAAATCGAACATTTCTGCTAATTTCAGCTCAATTTCAAGATACTTTTCATTGTGAAATCAATCAAAATCATCTCAATTTCTGTAATGTATCTTCCATTCTATGAAATGAGACCAGGAAAACTAGAATACAACCATAAATATCATACAAAAATACATTGCAAACTTGCTGTTTTAAACCAAAAACACAGTCCGAGTTTTTTTTCTCATTATGCACTGAGTGCTGCAGGATTTTTTTTATACTGCGCACACTGACCACACAGACCCACTCTTTCATATGTAGGCCTACCAGCTTTCTCTTGCTAGATTTGAAGGCGCTAGAATTTATGAGTACTAGTACGGCACCAACCCTGAAAGGGTTAAAGCTTGTCAGATAACCCTTCTTAAATGCAATATACACTATATAGTAAGTTGCCAACAAATAATCATCATTTATGATCAAGGTAAAAATTTTGGAACTAATTAATTACTTATGAATGCCTATCTGCAGATATACCTGTGACTGGTTTCAAGAGTTTTCCTACTCTTGCAGGTTGGCCATGGGCCAGACTTGTCTGGTACTTGCCTAGTCAACCAGGCTCTTGCTGTTGGCCTGCAAATCTATCACAGCCTGGTTGATCTGGCACAGATAATCCTGATCACTGTAAATATTCAAGAAGTAAAAAAATCTCAGCTATTTTTTCATCAAATGCATTTATACTTTGCATACATTTATTTTATGCATGTCTGGAGACTTTTTTTTTTTTTTGGGGGGGGGGGGGGGGAAGATCAGCCACAAACTATAGATATAAAAATTCTAATTTTGTAAAGATTGAATTATAAATATTTTTTGGTTAGCTTTTAATCAAATGCACTGATATTTACTGTATTTTCATTTTACACATGAATAGAGTGTTCACATTTGTCTGGTAAAGATTTGTCAAAAAGTGTAAACTATAAAAATTCCATTTGTTATTTAGGGAGAGGCAGGCAGTTGTGTCTAATTGTCAGTAGCTGAGGTGCAGAGCAGTGAAGGCTTACTACTGACTCAGTACCTTCCCTTCCCACTACACAACCCAGTTACACATTATCCTTCACCTATGCCAGCTGCAGACGAAAACTTTAACAGTCTTGTAACTATTCTAGGTTTATTTCTACAATTGTTGAATGTGGTATTCAATGAAACCAGGGAACAGAAGGGGTTTGAACCCATGACAAATTCAAACCTCACCTGCTCTGTGGTTTGTTTGCAATCATGTTATTACGATTTTGTGAGACATGGTATTCAATGGAAAAGTTGTGTAGTGAAAGTATGCTCTTCACTGTTCTGCAGACATCAAAGACAATTTCATTTGGAGTTAATGGGGCCATCACAACTTATGATATATTAAGGATTGGCCCTTCACACCATTAGGAGGACTCATAGCTCATGAGATGTAGCCCTTAAAAGAGCAGTAACAAAAACAAGTCTCCCACACCTTTAGCCCTTAAACTGCCCAAACACAGAACTACGGTCACATGCGTAGCGCTCCGACCTTTATTTTCTCCATCTGAATGCATGTAAAAAAACGTAGATCTACGTTCGGAGCGCTACGCACATCAACGTAGATCGTACCAGATATTTATAGAAATATCTGGTACAATCTATAAGGCAATGTGGTGGTTATTTTTACTAATGTTGATGGCAGTGGTGGGTGTTGGTGACAGCTGAGATTGCCTGTCACATCTATGTACAGATACTGTACAGGGCCACATCCACCCTTGCAATGCATTTCCAGATCAAAAAGCAACAACTACAATGTAAGATATGAAAAACTATTAGTTTTGATGAACTATAAAAAAAAAAAAAACTCGCTTGGCTTTTTAGAGGTGCCATGAACATAACTGTTTTCTCCATATGTTCTTCAGCCTACATCCCATTATTCATGTAAAGCACAGGTTTTCAGGAACCAAACCTATGCAAAGAATGAGATTCTACTGTATAGAGACCAACATTCTGCATGTCAGGGTTTGTTGAGAAATGTGATGGAACTCTGGTTAGCAGCAAGAGGTAATGAGCAGTTTCATCTATATTAAGTTCTTGTAGTACCCTGGAAATGATCAATTCTATGACTGAGGCAAACAGGCTGAAGCCATGGACAAACAAAATATTCTCCAAGGTCAACAGCACACCAAAAACCATTGGGAGGGGCAGAAGCACCTGCAAGCAGGTGGCTATGAGTGAAATACATATTACCTATTCTCGATCTATAGAGAATCATCTCGTAATGACTATTCTTGCTGAAAGAGGACCAAATACTCTTGTCTTGTAAAACTCTATACAACTTATTGCTTGTCTCTAAGGCAATTTCAATCCAGCACTTTTCATAACTACATATGGAACCCATGAAATCACTGTGGCAAGAGTGAAGCACGAAATAGTTTGCCTCAGTATCTGTCCACTCTTTTTTCCCAGATGCAAACAAAATTTTACTCTTGTGCAGGGCATGGAAGCAAGCTAACCACACCTGGATCTTTTGAACCACAGGGTGTATTGGCCAAGGCCAACCAAGGTATACAAAATTCTGAGAAACAGACAAGGTAGAAAAGGTTACACTCTTTAACCCTTTGAGAGGTCCATGCTGTTGTTCTATGGCTTTGAAGCCAGTGTCCATGCTGTAGTACTATGTGATGAGCTCAGCTCACTCAGATAAGCTGTGACTGGTAAATTTGGGCCTAGATAAGAGAGAATAGGTCTATGCAATAAGTGTGCATCATATAAAATAAACCCTGCAGCATGCAGTGCATAATGAGAGAAAAAACTGCTACCTCATTTTTGGCTTAAAACAGCGACTTTGTGGTGTATTTTCATCTGCTTTTCATGGTTGTATTTTCAGTTTCACAGTTTCATTTGGTTGAATAGAAGATATATTATAAAAATAGAGATGATTCTGACTGGTTTTAGGTCTGAAAACTACATGAAATTGAGCTCATGGCAGCAGAAATGTTCGATTCTTGCCGATGCTCAAGAGTAAACAAATCGCATCACACATCCAATACACGTCAACTGGTCGGTCTAATATGTGTTCATGAGTGCCCTGGTGCTATTTATACAATTACAGTCTCTTCTCACTTAGTGACATACTTGTTTACCAACGACTCAGACTTACAACAGGCTCTCTGACCAGCATGCATACCTAAATAATGTATATTAGAGCTGATTTCCTCAATTCTGTTTATTACAATATAAAGTACACTACTGAATAAACATGTAAAAATATACCAGAAATGTTATAAATGGTGGAAAGGTGACATTAAAACAATATCAAAGATGGTTAACACAAACCCACTACCATTATAGTATGCTCCTCACTTAGCGAAGAATTCATTTACTGAAGTGGGCTTAGGAATGGAACTCCGTCGTTAAGTGAGGAGAGGCTGTATTACAATATTTCTTAACAGTAAATGTTTTGCTTTTTGGAATGAATAAAAATTCTTTGTGAATAAAAAATAAAAAAGTGGGCAAAATCGCCAATGTGTAAATTTCGCTGACGAGGAAAATTCGCGATAGAATAATTTCGTCAATTTTCCATCAAATTTCTTACTTTTTGTTTTGTTACCTTCAGAAAAAGATTCTCTACCATTTCTTAACCCTTTGAGGGTCCAGAGGCCAAATATCAGAGTGACAGCCAGGGTCCAAGAACTTAAAAAATTTTTTTTTTTATTTTTTCTTATAAAATGGTAGAGAATCTTTTTCTGAAGGTAATAAAACAAAAAGTGCAAAATTTGATGGAGCACTGACGATATCATGCTCTTGCAAATTTTGATGCGTCAGCAATATTTACGCATCGGCAATTTTGCAGACTTTGACTCCCATTTTTGGCCAATTACATTATTCCAGTCAACCAAATTCTTAACTATTTCACTAGTATTACTTCTATTTTATCAACAGAGCACAAGAAATTGCCCAGTCAACTGTTTCAACTACCCAATAAAGTGACTGGAAATTCATAATTTGGCCAATTTAACACAAAGTTCAAAATATTTCAATTTCAAAATAGGGTCTAGAATAAACAATGCAGGCATTCCTGGCACTAAACTAACATTTTCTCTGTTTGTTAGTTACATTTTCAGGCTTGGGTGGTAAATGCAGCAGCGAGGAGACGGTTGGAGGCAGTGGAGATGTCCTGTCTAAGGGCAATGTGTGGTGTAAATATTATGCAGAAAATTCGGAGTGTGGAAATTAGGAGAAGGTGTGGAGTTAATAAAAGCATTAGTCAGAGGGCAGAAGAGGGGTTGTTGAGGTGGTTTGGTCATTTAGAGAGAATGGATCAAAGTAGAATGACATGGAAAGCATATAAATCTATAGGGGAAGGAAAGAGGGGTAGGGGTCGTCCTCGAAAGGGTTGGAAAGAGGGGGTAAAGGAGGTTTTGTGGGTGAGGGGCTTGGACTTCCAGCAAGCGTGCATGAGCGTGTTAGATAGGAGTGAATGGAGACGAATGATACTTGGGACCTGACGATCTGTTGGAGTGTGAGCAGGGTAATATTTAGTGAAGGGATTCAGGGAAACGGTATTTTTCATATAGTCGGACTTGAGTCCTGGAAATGGGAAGTACAATGCCTGCACTTTAAAGGAGGGGTTTGGGATATTGGCAGTTTGGAGGGATATGTTGTGTATCTCTATACGTATATGCTTCTAAACTGTTGTATTCTGAGCACCTCTGCAAAAGCAGTGATAATGTGTGAGTGTGGTGAAAGTGTTGAATGATGATGAAAGTATTTTCTTTTTGGGGATTTTCTTTCTTTTTTTTTGGGTCACCCTGCCTCGGTGGGAGACGGCCGACTTGTTGAAAAAAAAAAAAAAAAAAAAAAAAAAAATAATGAATTTCTATTCACACCAAAAAATGGAAGATATGCTGTTATGCAATATTGTAATAATTGTATGAATAATATCAGCACATTCGTGAACATATATCAGATCCACTAGCTGATGCGTATTAGACGCGTGACATCATTTGTTTACTCTTGAACATCTGCAAAAATTTAACTTTTCTGCTAATTTGAACTCAGTTTCAAGCCCCCATCTCTATTTCTGTAATATATCTTCCATTCTATCAAATGAGACCAAAAAATCATGAATACAACTGCTAAAAACATACGAAAAAACACTGCAAATTTGCTGTTTTAATAAAAAATTACGGTCGCAATTTTTTCTCATTATGCACCGTGTGTTGCAGAATTTGCTTTATGTGGTGCACACTTACATCATATATGTATTCTCTCATATCTAGGCCCAAATTTACCACTCACAGCTTATGAGTGAGTTGAGCTCATGGCATAGATCTACGGCTTGGACCCTGGCTTCAAAACCGTAGATCTACAGGACGGACCCTGAAAGGCTTAAGAAAAAATAACTTTTTTTTGAAAATTCTTGAACCCTCTGGACAAATTTCAGATAGGGGGTCTAGACCTTTTTGCTGTCCAGATCCCTAAAATTAATATTTCTTGTGTTGTCCACTTCACAAAAAAAAAAAAAATCTGAAATGGTAGAAAACCTTTTTCTGAAGGTAATGACACCAAATGTATGAAATTAGATGAACAACTTATGGAACTGCATAGGCACAAAGTTTGCGTTCTCAACATAATTTATACCTAGGCGATTTTGACAAGTTTGTGTCCCATTTTCAGCCAATTCCACTGTTCCCATCAACCAAACTCTTAGCTATTTCACTAGTATGCCTTCTAATCTATTGACTGAGCAGAAGAGATCACCCATTCAACTACCCTATAAACTGCACAGTAGGTAATTTAGCCAATTTTACACAAAATTAAAAAATACCAAATTTAAAATAGAGTACAAAATAAACAATGCAGTCATTCTTGGTACTACAACATTTCCTCTGTTCATTAATTACATCTCCTGGCCCTTCCTATATTACACTTGCCTTCCATTTTGAATTCATAATCATACAATATAGAAGATTTACTCTTTCTCGGATAATAAAATATAACAAGGAATGATTTGTCATGGTTGATGGTGTGTCCCAATAATTGAACGAGTCTTATTAAAACAATCCCATAAAATAGACCAGGGGGTGTAGCGGGGCCTTACCTGTCCTCAGGAAAATTGGAAAAAAATAGAATATTTCCACTACTCTGAGCTCAACCAAATCATCTCTATTTCAGTAGTATGCCTTCCATTCCATCAAATGATACCAAGAAACAGCCCATAAAACAATCCAAGAAAACTACCTCAAAATTGATATTTTAAACTATAAACATGCTTTTCCAATCATGCACCACGTACATCAGGATTTTTTTTTAGACTGCACACTCATCACACAGACCCAATCTCTTACATCTATGCCAAAATTTACTGCTTGCAGCATATCTGAGTGAGCTGAGCTCATGACTTAGAACAATGTCAAAGACCCTGGCCTCAATGACATAGTTCCATGTGACAGCCACTGAAAGGATTAACAGGGATGTAACAGAGTATGGTTGGAAATTTCACATGTAAATGAACAACAGGTACACCAGAAAATACCACTTACACATAAGTAAATAAACAGAATGACCTAAACAATGACAGTAAAGGTAGACAACACACAGGTTACAAAGTTATAACTATTTCACACCAGTCAATCAAAAGTTAAGAGGTGATACGAAGAGCTAGAGCTCATTCCCTGCAAATTCAAATACTTAATTGCATGAACATATTTACTATGAAATTAAATGTTACAGGTTAAGATGTTCAACCATACTATTCACACACTTACTCCACGAACAGCTTCACTGATCGTCATTTTCCTTGGAGATTCCCCATCCATCTGTGCACATGCTGAATACAACATCATTTCTGTGTTGGCAACCTTTAGGAAAAAATAAAAACTGATGAAACCAAGCAACATGTGACAATTAAATATGCGAGAGGTGGCACAGAAATTATCAAACAAAGAAAGAATATTGGTAAATAGTTTTAGCAGTCCTGCCAAGTGAATGTAAAACGAAAGCCTGTAATTGTTTTACATGATGGTAGGATTGCTGGTGTCCATTTTTCTGTCTCATAAATATGCAAGGTTTCAGGTACGTCTTGCTACTTCTACTTACACGTAGGTCACACTACACATACATGTACAGGCATATATATATATATATATAATATAATATACACACATCCCTCTGGGTTTTCTTCTATTTTCTTTCTAGTTCTTATTCTTGTTTATTTCCTCTTATCTCCATGGGGAAGTGGAATAGAATTCTTCCTCCGTAAGCCATGCGTGTTGTAAGAGGCGACTAAAATGCCGGGAGCAAGGGGCTAGTAACCTCTTCTCCTGTATATATTACTAAATGTAAAAGGAGAAACTTTCGTTTTTCCTTTTGGGCCACCCTGCCTTGGTGGGATACGGCCGATGTGTTGAAAGAAAGAAAGTTTTAGCAGTCTCAGAAAACTTAATAACAGACAAGATTCAGTTAACACTGCAATTAAAACCAATCAAAATACTTCTCAATGAAACCTTCAAAACTGAAGTTATCCTGAAATTAATTTATGAAAAAGAAACTACTATACCACAGAGCCCTTGCCTACTATTTTGTTACTTGAAATCTACCAAATGATGCAATCTATATAAACAAGCTTACTTTTGATTGATGTATGACTGATTTTTTTAATAAAGCTTGTCAGAGAAAACCAATAACAAATTCTTTATTGGAAAATCAATAACTTATATGAAAAATAGTTTCAGGCTCTGGTATATGGGAAAGACATACAGCAGAGGACTTGGAAGCCCATACCAAGGCTATGTACTGAGAACTAGCTATTTCTACCTGGTCTAAGGACTACTGTGTATTATCTAGATGTGCAAGTCAAGGACAGAAAAGTAAAAGCTCTCTCCACACCCTTCATTTCTTTTGGTCACTGCCTGAATGAAAACAGGGAAAAATATACTATACCATATTGGAAAAATGGCATGGAATTTACAGGAGAGGTGCAAGTGGATGGAAAACATGGGCTACAACTACCTCTACTTAATCAGCATTCTTTCTATCTTAAACTATTTGTTACTCCACTGTCACTCACAGAGCTGTGTGTAGCAGTAGTTCTACTTCTGGTTACCAGCAACTGTGCCATGACTATTATAACTCTCTATGTCTACTGCTACTATCATTAATGACTAACCTCAATGTAAAATGTTCGTCTTGATGCAAATATCAACAAATTAAAAAAATCACTCTTTGCTGCTTTTAGCCAGGTGGGTCAAATACAATTTACATATATGTAGGGGAAGGAAGGCGGGGTAGGGGTCGTCCTCGAAAAGGTTGGAAGGAAGGGGTAAGGGAGGTTCTGTGGGTGAGGGGCTTGGACTTCCAGCAGGCGTGCATGAACGTATTCAATAGGAGTGAATGGAGATGAATGGTATTTGAGACCTGACGAGCTGTTGGAGTGTGAGCAGGGTAATATTTAGTGAAGGGATTCAGGGAAACCGGTTATTTTTATATAGCTGGACTAGTCCTGGAAATGGAGCGTACAATGCCTGCACTCTAAAGGAGGGGTTCAGGATATTGGCAGTTTGGAGGGATATGTTGTGTATCTTTATACACGTATCACACTATGTAAAAACTCTATGCACATAAAGGGCCCTAAAATATGGAATTCATTACCAGAATATATTAAAGTAACCCAGTCTGAAAATCAGTTTAAGACTCTTCTCAAAGCCACTTAATCACCCTAGACTAAATGCTAAATATTCAATACACACATACTCACCTATGTACTCCCACATCATAACTTCAACAATCACTTTGAACCTCTTATCCATTGTTGACAGGAATATAATTGAACCACTGTTTTTCACAATAAGCATTTTAGACTATATGAATATATCCTTTGTCTTATACAAATTTAATTCACTTATAATTAATAACCTACTGTTCAACTATGAAATAATTACTGTCCTACTGTACAACTAGGATAAAATCCTTAGTATTAAGTAGTCTGTAAGCCAATAATGTTAAGTTGGCCCATAATGCCTAGGCATAATAGAGGCTCTCTTTGCATTGCAACCCACTATTGTAAATACAAAATCTCAATGTACTGTTTGCAAAGACATAAATAAATAAATAAATAAATAATATGCTTCTAAACTATTGTATTCTGGGCACCTCTGCAAAAACAGTGATTATGTGTGAGTGAGGTGAAAGTGTTGAATGATGATGAAAGTATTTTCTTTTTGGAGATTTTCTTTCTTTTTGGGTCACCCTGCCTCGGTGGGAGATGGCTGACTTGTTTAAAAAAAAAAAAAAAAAAAAAAGTATGACTATATTCAGTGATTACACTGGGCAATAAAAAATTTTTTTTGACTGCAAATTTGGGTATGCAGATTCCAAATCTGAAGTGAGAATTGACCCAGCATGTCAGAAACTTTATAAAAAAAAATTAGGCTATTTTATTACAAAATCAAGCACAATGATGAATAAAAAAGTTACTGACTTATTGCCAGCTCATAAGAAATCCTCAAAATATATCATTTAAAACATTTAAAAAAAAAGTGATCTGTAATTCCTCTACCATTATTCATTAAAATATCAAGCACCAGTGTCACAGCCATGGGCGAGGGATGGGGGCTAAATCCCAGTTGCAAATAATTTTAATTTATTTTTTTCAATAAATGGATAATCTTCACTATATTATATTGACTAGTGACCACAAAACTACAATAGTTTAAAGAAAGTTCACATACAAGCTCAAAATCACATGCCTAAACTTTAAAGGCTATTTAAGCTCCTTAGAATAAAATACTGAATTAAGCTCCTCCCCCACTGAAATTCTTGCTGTGCTGTCAAGCACATTGTGTAAATCCATAGCTGTCATTTGTGCATTCTGTTTATTTGTGGTCAGAAGTACTCAAATAAGTGAAAAATTCATTGAAATTTTTCACCAACTAAAAATTCTTACAAGTTAGGAAAGTTTTAATTTCCAATTCAAAACCAGCATACAGTATGTGAATTAGACTAAAACATGCACTTTTACCTCAGCAGCAAATTTTTGGTTGTCCAATGTTATAAAAGCAAAGTTAAAATACAGACATAATAAACACCAAAAGACTAAGCCTGCTTCAATATACTGTATCATAATTTAGTGAGATATTACTGACCTGATCAAACTTGTTGTGGGTCTTGTCGTCAGGATCACAGAAGTGTTCAATCTCGGCCATTGTAAATTCTCTTACCCTGAGAAGACCAGAACGCGGTGAAATTTCATTACGATACGCATTGCCCACCTGTTAAATGAGGTAATTGTTGATATTTTTCAAGTGTTTTATTTATTAATTAAAAGAAATGGTGCTGGAAAGCAATGAAAAAATGGGATACTTTGCAATTATATAAGTGTGACAACTCACACTTACCAGACATTAAAACAAGCCAGAGATAAATACCATACATGAGGGAGAAAAGCTAGTGTTAGATTAATCTGGGTGGATGTGTCAGCAGATCTGTTTGTGAATGACAAGATGAATTGTAGAACTAACAAGGAAAAGGATATAGTTTGGTGCTGAGGAGTCTGTGGAAAAAAAGTTTGTCAATGGATGCAAAAAAAAAGAAAATATAATGTACAGTATTAGAATACAGTGGTGCATGGTCACTGAATGCTGCTGTCAAGAGGCTTGAGGCAGCTGTGCCATATTTGAGATCAGTGTGTGGCGTGAACATAGTGTAAGTGTAATAAGTGAGTAAGTGATGAAATTTACAAGACTGTGTAACTCAGTAAACAAAGGTGGTACTGTTGAGATATTATCTCTTAGGAAGGACAGAACAAGATAGGTTTAATAAGGTTAAATAAGTCTGAGGTGGATGGAAAGTAGTGTCAGGATATACTAAGAGCTGGAGAGGCTATAAAGGAGGTTTTGAAGGTAAAGGCTTCAGCATTCAATGTGTTAATTCAGAGTAAAAAAAGATGCTTTTTTTGAAAATTACTTAATTTTGGAGTGTGAGCAAGGAAACACACATGAAGGGCTTTAAGAAAACCAATTAGCTGAATTTACATCCATATTTCCTCGTGGAAAACAGATCATTGAGGAAACTTGGAGTGAATATGAGGAGAAACATCGAAGGAGAGCAAGTTAGTATACAGACTGAATCAACCAGAGTCTACAGTTCTTCAATGGGCAGATGTCACGGAACATCCAAAATAAAGTGACTCGTACCCTTGTCACCAGCCCAACAAGTCCCGGTATGAGTGCAATGGAACATTTACAAGAATATAACATCTTCCTCACACCACCAACCTTGGAGCCCAACACAGTACACCAATAAGCCCAGGGCTAATAGAAATGTATATGCATGTAACCACTAGAGATATATGAAACAGCCTAGGACCAAAATGGTGAGCAATCCCCAGTAAATGTTTGACTGGCCAAATACATTCTACTGCATACTACCAGCAGGCCAAGCACAACCATAATCACTCTATGATACCCAAACTTCTCACTTTACAAAAGCAGACCATGAACCCAAATCTAAAACCTGCAAGTGTGGACTGCAAATATTTGAGTCAAAACCAAAATAGTATATAACTCGTAGATTAAAATGGAGCAATGCATGTCAATCCAATTAATTCAGGTATGGTCAACACCAAATCTCTATCTACTCACCAAAGAAATGTTTTACCCACAAAAACAGCAGCAAACTCAATTTCCAGGTAAGTGTAAAGAGTTCATATGTGGGTCATCTGCATGGAAAATGTACAGGGAAACCTTGACAAGTTAAATCATAGCTTATGCTGTCCAGGACAGCAATAAAGACCACAAACTTACCAACATGGAAAGGGCTCTATCTTTAGAAAATGTAGATGAAAGACCTGATACTAGCAAGACTATGATGATTTGTAATCTTCCTAATTTTTTTTTGTTGCCTTTCTACTGTAAAACCTGCCTACTACAAAAGGCTTTAGGCCCCAACAATATCAGATCAACTGTGGTGTTCCTGTACTGTAAAGCAACACCTTCAAGAATGAATCCTATCACTTTTGGTGTAGAACCAACTTATGACAGAGTAGAGAAAGTACATAAAATACCAACATGGTAGATAAAAGACACAAATGCAGTACAATGCAATCCTTTATTAGCAGCTTTTCACCCATGATAAAAGCACTTTCAAGTGACTTAAGAAGCCACTGCATGGGCAAAACATTGTCAATAAAGGATCACATTATAGTGCATCTGAGTCTGTATCCATTATGTCAGAGTAACTGTTGTAGAAAAATATATACTCGTAAGAGCCAATCAGGTAAAATAAGCTCTTCCTCAACTGCTCTAGTTAACAATAGTTTGTGGTCTACGTAATGGTGTCTACAGAAAAATCTGCAAACTTTATGGAAAAATTAAAACTAAAACATCTCTTAATGGGACTCAAATCACAACAGATTTCACTGCAATTGCCACTGATTGATAAATATTTACACATTCAAACAAACATGCAGACATGTTTACAACATACAATCATAAGCACACAAATGACATACATAACATACATACATGAATATGATCAAGGAGGGAAAGTTATTGGAAAATGAACACCCAACTGAATCACAGACATCAGGATGAAATTTCCTCAATTTCATAGTAAAGAAGTAAAACAAGCTAACCAAAAATACAGCAGAAGGAAATTCCATACAAGGGTTCCAACAAATATAAAAGAGCTAGAGCTCAACCTCTACTCCCTACCAACTTAAACAGCTAATTACAGAACATTAAACTTGGCTAAGGCTTATTTAGGGCATATATCCACTTACTTGTGCACAAGCAAAAGGTAGCTTTCCCTGATTATATTCCAGCAACCGTTTAAAATTGACAAAAATTCCCTGAGCTGTCTCTGGTCTCAAGTACCCCTTTAGATTACCTGCAAGAAAAATTTTTCAAACATAAATTTTTTCCAGCCATTTCAGTTTACAAGCTATAATTAGGATTTTTTACAGAATGTTTGGCAACAAAATATGTAACATATTAATGGAAGAGCAAATTTGCAGATTTGCAAGGTGTTCTTTCTCTCTTTCCTCCCTAGAAGCTCATCACTAGTAATCTCTTCTCTAAATCACTTGCAAAGGCAATAGCTCCAAAAGAAATTTCTCGCTTATCACAAATTATATACACTGATGGATCTAAGCAGGAGTTTACTGGCACGGCTGCATCTGCTCTTGTTGCCATCTCCCTAGATAAGAATGACAGAAACTATGTTGAGTTAGTACCTGTCTTAACTCCTTTTAAAAACACCCAAAGTATTCATTCAATGACACTAGCTGACCTTTTTATCCTTGTATTTTCATTTTTTTTTTTTTGCTCTTTATTATATACATTTCTTATCTCACCAATACATAGCTATCATAGAATTAGAAAAATTCCAACAATGTGTAATGCAAGGTATGGCACAGTGTTGGGGTAGAGTAAGTAGATGGGAGTGAACTGAGAATTAAGTTCATCAAAACCACTACAGGCACCTGTGCTAGTGCTTTCTTAATTAAGTCAGTGCAGTCTGTTTCATATACTGATGCAACCTCTGCTAGATACACATTTCCTTAATCATGTGTTACCAGTGAATTTGTTACTTACTGAAAAATGAATTCTTAATTTCAGCTATTATTATTATATTTAAAAAACATGCACCAAACCTGTTCTCACAATGGCTGGACAGATGATCGACAAACACTTGGTCGACAGACAGTTAACCAAAGGACAATTGACCAAATGGATATTGCACTAACAGCCATCTGGCCGAATGGATAATTAGGTTAGGTTAGATGATGAATGCCAGTTCGGCCACATATCCACTTGGTGAAATGTCCATTCATTCAAATGTTTGTCGGCCAAATGTTCAGGAGCCGTACTCACCTATATGGGGTTGCAGGGGATGTGTTTTACCGCCTGTCCATTCCTCTTAACTTCCTGCTTGTCAGATTTTCACTCTCCTAGCCTTGTGGACCCTATTACGCCTATTCTTAAAATTATGTATGGAGTCTGCCTCCACCACTTTGTCAGTCATTCCACTTATTAACCACTCTGAGATTAAGATATGCTTTCTGATACCCCTATATACGGATCATACAGTGTACTTTCAACAAGTTTCTCATCACTGTCATTACAATTACTCTTGAACATGCATCTGGGCTTAGAAGTATGCCTTTGTCACTAATGGTTTCATATAAAAAACAAAGAGACAATTACTTTTGAATGGAACTTTACACAAATAAAACACAAACAGGAAGGACAAAAGAATTTATGACAACGTCTTCAATAAGTTTTTCTCACTATGTGTGTGGTTTATTTGTTTATGTTTTCATACACAGTAAATTGATGTCAATTAACCAGTACAGATATTCTATCATGACTTACCGGAATAATTTCCTGCATTATCAATGACTTGAATTCATTAATTCAGCCATTACGTCATTGTCCTGAACTGTTTTAATGGAAACCTACTAGCAGGCCATATTCTTATTCCAAAGCATTTTTCAAAAGAGGCAGCTAGGAATGTTTGTCCCAGGATTGTGTTCGTGGTTAACGCATTTTTAATGATGAATTCTTTGTTGAATTTCTCACAGTACACCATATCTTCATCGTTATAAATTCTTTAAGGCTACTGTCTCATTATCCTTTGCTTTTTAAATTGCTAATAACACTTTAATACCAAAGCTTGGATCAGGAGATGAGCAATACAGTGGCATAATTGTTTAAAGGCTTTACTTCTTTCTTTCATTTCAACACACCGGCCGTTTTTAATCCTCGACGGCAGGGTGGGCCCAAAAGAAATAAAACAAGTTTCTCCTTTAAAATTTGTAATATATACTGGAAGTAAGGGGCTTACAGCCCCTTGCTCCAGGCCATGTTCTTTTATTTTAGTCGCCTCTTACAACATGATGGCTTACGGGACAGGATGAATTCCTGCTTCCACTTCCCCATGGAGCGATTAGAGGAATTATACAAGAAACAAAGAACTAGAAAGAAAATCGAAAGAAAAAAGAATACCAGAGGGGTATGATATATATACGCTTTGTAAATGTTATGTGTAGTGTGACCTGTGTGGTAAAAAGTAGAAGTAGCAAGACGTACCTGAAATTTTGCATGTTCATAGAGACAGATAAAAAAAAAGGACACCAGCAATCCTACCTTCTTGTTTAAAACAAATACGGCTTTCGTGTTACACTCAATTGGGCATGGACGGGACGTACCTCCTGGGCAGTTGCTGTCTACCAAACCAATCCCTAGCATTACATGCTATCAATTATCAAGAGGAGATATATATGAGCAGTGATGATTGTTCATGCACCAGCATTAATGCAATTTTTTAGGGCACCCCTCTGTTGCAATGAATCCTCAAACCCTGGCCTTGGATATCAAATGTTTCCTTAAACATTCCAAGGTTTATAATCTACAAGTAATCCATGCCTTGCTATATTAGCTTCGTGAGTAACTGGTAACATTTTTCACCACTACTCTCAAAGGGCACATAGGTGTGCCCCTTTTCAAGTCAAACACAAAACAGTAGGGCCCTGTTTTGTGATGTTCCACTAATATGCAATTTATATTGGACCAAAAATTTGCTTATGCATTGCGGTCTTTCAATACTGAGAGCCCCACCTGGGTGTGTGTACATTTCTGTGAGCAATATCTTTTATGTATGGAACTTTCCATAAAATTTCAAGCTGTTTTAAATATTATTATTATTATAATCCAAAAAGAGCGCTAAAGCCACAAGGACTATACAGCGCTGCAGGGCAGGAAGGAAAGCGGAGGGCCATCAGGTGGCAAAGCGGAGATGGGTATGAGTTAATAGGTTTCGGATTTAACAGCGGGGGGGCAAGTGGATGGTGAAAGGGTTTAAAGGGCAGCAGCATGAGACTGAACTAGAATGGGCTCTGAGGGGGAGTGCGGTAAAAAGTATCATCCGTGCTGTGTGGAGGAGTAAATCAGTCGTTGTCAAGAAGTCAATTGATGCGGAGTCTGGAATTATTAAAGGTAGGGTCCATCAGCAAGAAGGTAAGGTAAAATAGAGAGAAGTAGTAGAAACGGGAAGACGAACCTCGGATGGTATATTCTGCATGCGCGTTGTGAATAGAGAGGGCAGTCTAACAGAATGTGGTAATCGATACTGGAAACTGACCACTGCTCTCAGAGAGGAAACAGGTTGCCTCTCAATGAGTACCCAGAGTAAGTCGTAGTGTGACAATGCAATGGCGGGGGGACAGTGTGGTCTCCCTACCTCGGCACTGATACAAGAAGACGGGCAGTTAACCTATGCTCGGTTTAATAGAATGAAGTTTGTTACCGAGCAGGAGTTGGCCCAACGTTGTTGCCTTCGGCTGGCGATGGTGGGTAAGATAATTGACAGCATATATGTAGTCCAGCATTGGAAACACCGCGTTTGGATTGGGGGTGGGAGGGTCGGCTGTCATCGATGATGGGGGCAGCACTTAGGCACTGTGGACTCCACCTGGTGTGTGTGTACCCTGTCAATTGCCCTGTACGTCGACCATGACCAGGGACCCAACAAAAAACAATATCTTTATGTTTGGTAGAGAGATTACTGCATAGCCAAATGTTGGATTACGGAGAGAGAACTAGGGGATGAGATGTATAAATTTTCGAAAGGCCTGTAGAGGCACTAGGGTGTCTGGAGGAATACTACATTATGAGACTAAGGCATAGATGGGATATGAATAAGTGCTGCAAGAAGGCATACCGTTCAGCAGTAAAAAATTGCTAGCTGACGAAGATAGTAAATGTCCCCGCACGACGCTGTCTGGAAACCACTGCTGCGATTACGACGCCGTTCGTAACTTAGTGCCATCTGTGTACACAGCCCTGGGCAGGTTGGCATGAGAAATGGGAGTGGAAAAGTGATCAAGAAAAATGAGAGCGGGAAGCCACCGTAGGCAGTTGAGCTTTCGAGCAAGGGAGTGTGAAAGAAAAGACCCGAACAGCTGGAACTTCCCAGGGGGGGGGGGTGTAGAGAAATGTGAGTTGGCTTCATGAACATTAAAGGTGGTAACTGAAGGGAGACAAGAAGAAGTCAAGAGTGTGAATGTAGGCGAAAGAGAAAGGGTGGAGCAAACAGGGGTGCGCGAAAAGAATAAGAATGTTTTCTAATATCGGTGGCCTTTCTATAAATGGAAGGATTGTGTAGATCGTTTGAGAAGCTGAGAGCGTACATAAGTAGCGAAGGCAATGGGCTCACCGGGATCAGACTAAGGATGACCATTCGCTTCTGTTATAGAGGGCTCTCAAACAGGGAAAAAGAGCGGAAATGCACCAAGGCACAAAACGTTAATCCTTGGTGATGGATAGAGTTAAGCGCTTAGAGAGAGTAGCAGGAGAGACTCGGAATAAATCTGGTCACAATCAATCGAGTTTTGATAAAACGAGGGCTGAATGTAGGTGAAGCAGAGGTTCGACGATAGTCCCCAGGAAAGATGAGCTAAGGGTTTTAGAAGGTTTAAGCCGGCTGTGAAGTTGCCTTCAGAGAGGTTTTGTGGGTTTCAGGATAACGACGGTCAAAGAGAAGGCTAGAAACCTGACTGTATCACGTTCGGGGATAAGGGAGTGCCATAGAGATACAAAGGATGATCCGGAAGATAACAGAGACGTCTAGTGGATGTAATTTTGGTGAGTTTTTGGTGCTTGAAAATTTTAACACATGCGTGGTGGCCCAAGTGGAAACAAGGGGGTCGGACCGCCATGCTGGAAGAGAAGGAAACTGCAATAAGATGGACTGTTCAGCGCCCCTGCCACAAGCAATAGACGGAAGTCATCAACATAGAGTGATGACCAAATATTGGGTGGAAGAAACAGAGGCCAAATCATTTATAGCAAGGAGGAAAAAGTGTTGTGCTTAGAGATACATCCCTCGGAGGACACCTTTCAGCTTGGACGAAGTCCGGG